TGCATTTTTAACAAGGTACCCAGATGATTTTTAGGAGCTCTACAGTGAGCTAAAGAAAAAGATCCAGACGAAACTGAAGATAAGGTGCGCTGCCACAGCCTTCTTGACAAGTTACACCTGGGAACCTGAAGTGTATTGCAAGGGGCTTTGCCTCCTGGGGATTTGACCACGGGTGTTCTGATGTACCCAAGGATGACCAGGTCTATCTGTGGAGGGCCTCATTTTGGTCATTTTTCTGACATTTGTTATACGAACATTAGTGTTTGGTCCCTAGCCAGCAGCAAAGTCTCTTGAGCTTTCTGCCTGTCTCTTTCTTTCCTTCCTTCTCTCTCTTTCTTCTTTTTCTTTCTGCTTTCTTTTTTTCCCTTTTACTGCCTTCCTGTCTTCCTTTTTTCTTCCTTCCTTCTTTTTTTCCTTCCCCCCCCCCTTCCTTCTCTCTCTCTCTCTCTCTGTCTTTTGGGAGTGTTTAAAATTAGTATAAAAAGGCAAGGCAAGAGAAACCGACCTTGCAAAAGTATGAGTGGACGAGCGTTTGATATTGATCTAACTTTCAACTTTTTAGGTTTCTTCCATAACCTGCAGGAGAGACAACTCAACCTTTTCCTCTTATGTAGCCCTGGAAGTGGGAAGTTATGGACTAACGTTCACAGTGTTCAGAGACTGAAAATATTTGTAGTTTGGGTTCTGCATGGTGGTAGAAGCGTGTGAGCGGTCATAAACTTGATTCAGCCCATGGTGTCTCCTTCACCCGTGTCATGCTTTCCAAGGTCAGCTGTTAGGGCCCTTGGAGTTGACTCCATGATTGAGTGAATTTAAGGTGTACTTTGCCATGGAAGAAACCCAAGCCTCCTTGACCCCGTCAGGGGAGGACAAACACCTTCCATGCTCCTTCACGTGGAAATTACTGTTGCTCTTGCGTGGACAGAAAATTGCAGATTCATGGACTAAATTTTCATGGACGTTCTGGTGTCAGAGCATTTAAACCAATGTACACTTTGGACTTCTCCCCACTCAGGAGATGATGTCTTCATTATTTTGACCAAAGCCAGACCGTGCTGTATGTTGTAAACATCTGGTTTATCATTTATCCAGCTGAGCTGGTTTGTATTTTCTTAGAAGAAAAGGCTCAGGATTAAAGGCATTTAAGTAATTAAGCACACGTCAAGACAATTTGATGATGGGTAAATATAGTCTCTGTTAAATGCACCGTCTGGGGGCTCTGGTTTAGATTTGTGTCTGACTGGAGTGCAGAGATGAAAGCGCCATGCAGGGCAGACCGGGCCCTGTTCGGGGGGAAATCAAAACCAAATGGGCTTCCGGGAGTACCGCACCGTTACGCTAAGTACCTGTCCCCATGGAGACAAGTTTCCTTTGTGTTTGGTCTGGAGGGAATGGGACTGCAGTTAGTCCCTGTCACCCGGCAGCCCTTGCAGGTCTAAGGAGACTCTTTGTGGGAGGCAGACCATAAACTCCCGTGCTTTGGTTGCTCCTCTGGGTCCAGGAAACCAGAGATGTCTCTGAGACTCAAAGCTGGGCTTCCAGCTTTGGCTGACGCGTGTGCATTTTCAGGTACCTGAGCCCACTCTGGGCACGTGTCTTGGCCCTGACCCCTATGGAGGCAGAGGGGCCGTGCTGCTAGGCCCGGTTGTGCCAGGCTGTGGAGATATGTGATCCGTGCTGGCCAGTGAGGAAGCACAGACTTTTTCCTTTGGGGCTTCTAGTTGATTTGAAGGAGAGGTGGGCATGGGGACCTTGGGACTCAGTGAGGGAAGTCCTCAGGGGTTATACTTTGCTGGAGCTGAGACTCTGCTTCTCTTGAGGGCGACAGGGAAGAGCAAATGCCTTCGGTGTTCTCTCTGGCTCCCTGGCCCCCATGCAGGGAGTGATGGGACACAAGTTTGGGTCTCTCTTTCCCCGGGTCTAGAGCAGAGAAGGAAGCATATAGACGTAATCCCGAAGAAGAAAGCTCTGCCATTATGGCCAGATGGATGGCGCATGATGGAACCAATTAGCCCATTTTTGCTGAAAAGGAAAAAAAAAAAATCAGAATTTCAATTTTCAAAGCAGGGACTCTTTTTAAAAAAAAAAACGTTTGATTATTTTCTTCTTTCAAACTGATTTCCATGCTTGTTGGAGGGTAGGATCTTGGTTTCTGAGGTCTGCGGGTGAACCAAGAGGCTAAGGCAGTCTCCATTCTTGGGTGACATCGTGGATGAGAGCTTCTTTCCGACTTCCCCTTCTTATTCCCCCGCCTTTAAGCACTCCCTCCTGTCTTCCCTCGGCAGCCACTGACTGGGACTAGCCATCGGTACCACCTTAAGAGTAGAGGTGCCTAGCCTGTGGGGTCAGAGATACCTTCATTCCAGGCATGTAGGGCTCCGGTTGTCTGAGCTAGGGCAGCTCAGTTTTCATAACCTGCTCTTCGCTCCAAGGGGAAGGACCCTTTTCCTGGGCCTCTTTTTCTGGAGGACCTTAATGTTTCTTCATCAGGATAGGATGCTACGCTGAGTCGTGAGGAAGGTGGGTGCCCATGATACCCAGGAGGAGATGCTGAAACATTCTCGCCGTGGGGCCCGTGACTCTTAAAACTATCGTCTCTCTGTGTTCCTGGCCCTGACACAGGTGCCAGGAGAGACGTAGATGAGAGGAGGCACTCAGGGACCTAGCCGGCCTCCGGCCTCCAGGGGAACGCAAAACAACAAGCAAACAGTGTCCCAGAAGCTAAGTGAGCTGCCCACGTCCGGCTGCACCACACCCCATTTTATTTGAAATGGGGGTGAGTAGTTTCAGAGTCCTAGCCATTTGAGATTTTCTGAGAATCTGGTAGCCGGGATCAGAAGTTCAAGTTGTTGGTCTAACGCTTCCAGACACGCGGCTACTGCGAGATGCCAAGCTGAGAATTAACAGAAGAGCTAAGAAGGTGAACTGCCTGTTCGACTTTTCCCCTGCAGTTTTGGGAACCGTTTTCAGGGTATACACAGCTGCTGGGGCAACCGTGGGCTGTGAGTGCAGGGACTGGGTGGGGCCATTCCCAAGGTGTGATTCAGCTGGGGCCCTCCCCACCTGCCGTGCTTCAGCCTCTGTCCATGTCGACAGCACTTCTGTAGCTGTGAACCACCCCCAGGCCCCGCTCCTGACTCGGGACTCCTCCCTTTGATTACCGTGGGGTGGCTTCACATGGCAGTGTTATGGCTCTTGAACTGATTAGCGGTACACAGAGTGAAATTGTCCTCTTGCGAGTAAGACAGGTCTGCAGCTCACGGACCTTCCACTCCCCGTATCCACCCTCTGCTCCTCTCGCCACCCCTGCAACGGCGATTGCTTGTATTTTATGTGCATGCCAAGGGGGAAACTTAAAATCAGGGAAAGACAGGCCCTTGGGTGATGTGGCCGCCCCAAACACTCAGCTTTCAACTCATGGCAAGAGTGGCCTTTTCCACCGAGCACCCCCTGTGGGCTCCTGCGAATCTCTGCGCCCATTCTTTCTGGCACCCTACGTCCTAGGACTTCGGGGAACTGGGTGAGGTTTGAAGAAGAGGAAGCTGATGGATGGGGAGAGGATTGTTTGAGATCGTCTGCGGTCTCTGAGCATGTGGGTGGGGCATTGGGTAGGAACGGGAGGTGGAAACCCATGAATTTTAATGAGTAAATGTTGTCTAGATTTGTTATCCAACCTCGGCGTTTATTCAGAGCCATGCAAATGCAGATTTCTTAGCATTTGGACATCATACGTCTTTCCCTCCAAAACCAATTATCTCCTCATCTTACTACTGTCTACAGTCTCCCTGGAAAGAATGGTTCAGGGCAGAAAGTAAGTGCGAGACTAGGGGAATCATTGTGCACCAGAAACTCGCCTCCCTCCTCCCTCTCCAGGATTAAATGTGGATCTTCATATGGCAGGATCCTTGGGATGACGAGTTGGGGAGACAGAATCCTGCCCATCTGGAAGCCAGCGCCCCAGGACAGACCCTCCCGACTCAGACAGAACACACAGACCACTCTAGAGCCCACGAATAAAACCAGGGAGGAAACAAGCACATAACAACGACTTTATGCTGTGCGGAAGGGTCTCTGTTGTGTGTGTACCGGAGTTGGAGGGACAGAGCCATTTGTTCGTTTCATATTTGTGCTGTCGGACCTGCGACGTGTGGGTGTTGTGAGACACTGTGGGGATGGGAAAAAAAAACCCCTTGTGTTGTTTTCAAATTCTTTGGTCTCAGGGCAACTTTATACTTTAAAACATCATCGGGACACCCAAAGGGCTTCTGTTTCGGTGGCTGTGTTGATCAATGTGCATCATATGAGAAGGTAAAACTAAGATACTTGGACAACACAAGAGTCCATAAGCACACATCCCGTTGGCCATGGCGGACGATGCCAGCGTGCGTCACACAACCTCACATGCACTTGTGAGAAAAGAAGCGTGAAAAAAAGCAAATAACGCCCAGTGCTATTAGAAAAATAGCTTTGCTCTCATGACCCCGCCCCCTGCAAAGGTCACGGGGAATCCCAGGGTTCCCCAGGCCCCGTTTTGAGAACCACTGTCCTACTGGTCTGACCTGTGTTGGGATGCTGTGCTCCAGGCACTCGGATCGGTTAGACAGTACATCCGCGGTGCCTTGGGAAGGAGCAGGAAGGTTCTAGAAATGAGTGCAGTTCAGCTGTAACCGTAAGTAAAGTTAGCCACGTAACCTGGCGGTGGTCGGGGGTGACGGGACTGGAGTGATCTAACTCTTTGAGGGCTGCAGGAACTTGAACTCGGGGAGGGCAGATTTGATATTGAAACATACTTTTGTATTGGGGAAATGAAAAAATATTATCCATAAGGCACAAAGAACCAAAGTTTGACAAAAGTTCTGGACCGGAAGGCTACTAGAATGCCGTGATTCTCAGCTGGGAGGTGGGAGAGAGTCTACTATTTATCATAAAACAAGAGTTGAGCACCCTTGTCCTATAGGCACTGCCCTAAGTCACTATTTTCACCTTCCTTTCTTCTGTAGGTATCAACTCTCTGATAGCACACAATATCTACGAGGCTGCCTACCCTCTTCACGATGTAAGTACCAGTTTCATTCGTGTGCTCTCTGTCGGCTCCAAAAAGTTGAAAACCACAGCTTTCCGGTGGCTGTGCAGGGGGTGAATACATGCCAGGCAGAGCAGGGGTGCAGCACGACATCCAGATACCTTGCGGACTGGACTGCTTACCGAGGGCAGTAATGCCCCACTCTGTTTTTTGCCAGTCGTCTCACACGAGCCTCAAAGATTTCCCTCGATGATCAAATGAACCAGGTTTTGTTTGAGCTTTCCCTACACTCACTGCTGCCGATTTTGGTAAAAGTGTGAACATATGCTGGGCCTGGTGGCTCAGCCTGTAATCCCGCGCTTTGGGAGGCCGAGGTGAGTGGATTGCTTGAGCCCACGGGTTCGAGACCAGCCTGGGCAACTTGGCGAGACCTCATCTTTACAATAAATCAAAAAATTAGCCGGGCGTAGTAGTGCGTGCCTGTAGTTCCAGCTACTTGGAAGGCTGGGGTGGAAGGATCGCCAGAGCCCAGCAGGTCGAGGCTGCAGTGGCTGGGAGCGGCCACTGCACTCCAGTCTGGGTGACAGAGCGAGCCTCCAACTCAAAAAAAAAAAAGTGTGAACATAGAGGTGTGGCATGTAGGTGATTGAAGAGAGGACATATTGGTGGATGTGGGTGGATGGTGACAGAAGAAGCCTCGAAGGTCTGGGCGCCACACCGAACGGGAGAGTTTGCACATGAGGGTTTTGTGCAGGTGTGAAATCCCTCCTGAATGTGCAGGTACAGATTAATGTAAGATCATTGTTTTTTTTTATTTGAACATTCTTGAAGGAAATCCCTGAAAATTCCGTATATGATGGTTTGGCTAAGTAAGGAAAACAAGAATGCCTGTAGTTCAGGTTTTCTTTGACTGGGAGTAACGTGATGCACATCCCATGATGCAATACAGTGATATTCTTCAACAACTTGTGGAAAGTTTAACTCGACTTGAACTAAATGCCTTCAAGGCTTCGCTGGCCATCTGACGGGTCAGGTCTCAGGTGTCTGTCACTGCTGAGATAAGGATCCCTGACTGGCCAACAGGAATTTCTCAGATGTGGGTCTTCTTCCTGATACGTATTTCCGAATGCACTGCAAGTTCTACCAGTTACGGTCGAGGTGAGCCCGTCAGGGTACCGGGTGGCTCTCTCGTGATGCACGAATCCACCCACAGGCCCAAGGTCTGCCGTTGCGTGTGCTCTGAGGAGGCATGGGCTGATCTCTAAAACACACGAGGCGGCGTCTGCATGTGAGAAGTTTTCCCGGTAAGCATGGCAAGCGTCGAAGATGGAATACGGCTTCTGACCATGCCGTGCTTTTGACCTTCCGTCAATGAGAATGAAAGGAAGGAATGCCATTAGAAAATACAAAAGAACTCTCGAATAGCCAACACGGGCATCTTTTAAAAGCCCTTGTGTTGGCTTTAGTCAGCATTCCTTTTTTCTCCCACAGGGTGAATACGACAGCCCTGGGGATGAAATGAACGACAGAAAGGTAAGCTGCCCCTGCTTCATCCAGCGCTTTGGGCGCCAAGATCACAGACGGGTGTGGAACTGGCTGGAAGTGTCTTGGATGTTCTGTTTACCATTGTATCGACTTTTCAACAGTTTCCCCTAGCCCTCTTCCCCCAGCAGTTCCCCAGGCATTTGAAAATGTGAGGACCACTTCTGGTCACCACAGTGACTGTGTGTGTGGTTGCCACGCACGAGGGTCTCAGGAACAGCAATGCTAAGGGAATCCATCCAACTGTCCCATAAAAAGCCTCACCCCACCCTCCCAGGTCAAAAGGGAGCTTACTGAGAAACGCTGACCATCCACACTCCTTAGCTGACGGACGCAGAAACTGAGTCACAGAAAGGTTGCACGCTTTGCTCAAGGTCACACAGACACAGTAGGTAGAAATGGGGCATGGAATGCCTCTGACTCTCAAAATCCAACATCTCTGCTTAAAACGTGTGATGATTCATGTCATGATGGCTCTTTTGGCGGGGGGGGTCATCTCTAAATTATTCTTCTTTTCCGCTGACAGGCAGGTAGAGGCTAGCCACCTCCAATTATAGGTGAGAAATCTGAGGGCGAGGGAGGCTCAGCCATGCTGCATATTCCAGGAAGCAGGGAATTAGAGGTTCCAAGGAGGGGAGGGGAAGGGTGCCGGTGCCCTTAGAAGGAGCCTCCTAATGCCTGTCGCAGCTCCTGACTATGCAGCTCTCTCCAGCCCTCGAAATGATCTGTTTATTCTGCTTGCTGATACCCTGGGATCATGGGTGCGGTCCTCCCTGCCATGACCAGGCAGCCTAAGTGTCTCCCCAGCCTCTTTCGTGGGGAGGTGCCCACGGCCCCCTCGTGCCACCCTTCCGTCTGGCTTCTCTCCGTCTTCAGCCACCCCAGTGTGCAGAGGACGTGGGCGAGGGCAGGGGGGGCGGGGAACAGAGGCTCAGGCAATCTCCCTCCCCCAGCTCTGCCGTCTGGAAAACCATTCATCCTCCAAGCTGTCTTTGGAGCAGCCTCCTTTTTTATCCTGCCTATTAGTCCCTGTTATGAAGTGTTAAGTATTAAAAACATAAAAGGTCTTTTCCAGAAATGCTGCCGTGATTGCTCACACATGTCCCCTCCGCCGGCCCGGGAATCTGCTGAAGTCTTGCGATGTCTTAACCTCATCTGTTTTCTATCTGATGCTAATAGCCTCGGCGTTTAATTTCCTGAAAAGTCTCGCGTCAGATTTAAAGGAAAAGGGGGACGCAGTCCTCCCACAACTCACCTCTCTCACCCAGCTGCTTTCTGTCGTCCCAACGCTCTCGTTTTTCTCCTTCCTCCCCTTTAAATGGCGATCGCCAGCCACTGCCCGCCTAAGAGAGCACCTGCTGGGTGGCGGTGACCCCAGCCTGCCTGAGAACGTTGCAGAGGCCAGGGACACACTGCAACTCATGGGAAAAAGCAGCCAACCTTGTGTGAGCTGCACCGGTGGAAGAAATATTAAATTATTATCAACATCAATACTTTTTTCTATTTCTTTTCTTTTTTCTTTTTTTTGAGCCAGGGTCTCGGTTGCCTAGGCTGGAATGCAGTTTGTGCAATCATGGCTCTCTGCAGCCTTGAACTCCTGGGTTCAAGTGATCCTTCCACCTCAGCCTCCTGAGTAGCTGGGACTACAGGTGCATGCCACCACACCTGGCTCATTTTTTTTTGAAGAGACGAGGTCTCGCTATATTGCTCAAGCTGGTCTCAAACTCACGGCCTCAGGCAGTCCTCTCATCTTGGCCTCCCAAAGTGCTGTGGTTGCAAGCATAAGCCACCACGCCCAGCCTACAGCAAACGTTTTGCTTGGATGGATAGGATGACATTGTTCTACCCAGCTTGTAGAACAGGTAGAAGCAGGAAGCAGGGAGAGGCCAGCCTGGGGGGAGTTTCAATTCCCAAAGTTGATGTTGGAAGGATGCTCTGTGAAGACGAACATGTCTTTGAAGGACAAGAGGTCCTTTCTGGTGGCCAGCCTCGTCCTCATCCTCGTCCTCGTCCTCAGAAGCCAGGTTCGTGTTTGGGGACGTGAGTTTGGCTGTGGCAGGCGTGAGAGAAGCCATGGGCGGAGGGTGCCAGCTCTTTTCTGTCCATCTGAGCTGGGACACCGACATCCAGCAGAGCGAGGAGGCTCGTTTCAATGTTCAGGAATGTCTGTGAAGTCAGGACTGAAGCCATGATGTCCAAACCCCAGCCAGTCCCTGCAGTCACGACGACACAGCTTCTCCTCAGTCCGAGGGATTCTGGTGACAGGGTGGGATTTGTGACTGGAATGTCAGTGGCGTGTGGGTGGTGCCTGCAGAGTATCCTAAAGGGGAGAGAGCAGACCCTCCGAAGGCGTGCAGCGTTTGTTTTCATGCCATCACAATTGTCGGTGTTCTTCAAGGTGGCTTCGGGAAGGATTTCGATGAGGTGCAAGGGAAGACTCCCTGCCTTTGCAGCTGGAGGACGCAGAGGAAGCTTGGATGGGTGGTGTGGGCTGCTTCCTTGCCAGCCTCTGGGGCTGATCTGCAGGGGCATTCCCAGCTGCCCACCCTGCCTGCCTCTCAACCTTCCCCTCCACTGTTTCTTGCAGTTTGCGGCTACTCCTGTGATCTCCCCGAGGCCTGGGCTCATTCGGGCAGACTCCAGGCAAGCCAAGAGGCCCTGGAGAATGCCAGTCTCCTTCGCTACAGCTTGCTGGAGCTGTGGTACAGTCTCGATGACTCAGCCCCGGGCAGGGGCTAGAAGTCTCCCTCTCACCCCTCCTGGAGGATAATTAAGAGAGGCTTCCTACCTCTGGAGAACAGGGGTTTCCTGCTTTCCTAGAAACCAGGAAGAGAGAGCAGCCCCAGGGTAGATTAGGTCCCTCCTGGAAGGCAGCTGACTAGTTCCATATTTGCCAAAGCTGCCTCGAGTCCTGGAGGTTCCCAGAGAAGTAACTGCCACCATCTCTCGGGGCCTACCTGGCTCCTGCTGGCTCCCTGCGGCTTTTTTACCTGCTTAGGGGAGAGCCCCAGACACAGCATCGGAATGGACTTCCGTGGCATTTTTCTTTTGTTCCTTTTGGGTAAAGTCAATTCTTTTCCGTGGCATTTTTCAAACCCTTAGTTCTGGCTTTTCTAGCCTTTGCAGGCAGCTGCCATCTCTTGTGGACAGTGACTCACTCAAAACAAGACACAGAGAATCAACCCTGCATTTGAAACCTGCCTTCCTGACAAGAAAAGCGCTTGTCTTGGTTCCCCTTGGGGATGGATTTTGCCACACTGCACAGTTTTGGTGTCACGCTACAGAGAAACTGAGACCCAGAGAGCTGAAGTTGCTTGCCAAAGTGTGCAAACAGGTCAGCGCAGGATCCGGGAGTAAGACCGGAGTCTCCTCCACTCAGGCCCATCCCCGTCCCACGAAGGCCTGCGAGGCGGCCACGGCATCTTCCTGCCCGTCCCAGGCCTAGCTGCTCCTGAGCAGGCTGGTGTCCTCAGAGAAGTCCCCGCATCCAAGCTGCCGGACCTCTCTATGCATGGCAAAGGGCCGTGGCAAAGGGCTTTAGCCTTTTAGCCTATGCATGGCAAAGGGAGGTTCCAGTGTTGCCTCCCGAAATCCTTCGATCCACGGCTCGCTGCCAAGTGTGGCCCCCAGGGAGCTGGACTGGCAGCTTGTAGGCTCTGATTCCTCAGCTGGGCTGGGTCCTGGGGTTGCTGTTGCCTGCTCTGAAGGCTTGGGTTCAGACAGACCTGTCTGCCGTGACATCCTGGGCCTCTGAAGTAAGGCCCCGTCCGTTAAGAAGGAGATGACCTCCCCCACTTCCTGATTTATTTTCTGGCCCAACCAGCTGGGGAAGAGAAGCCATGGTGTCCCTCTCAGGGAGAAGGCAGATTTGCTAAGAGTTGCATCAGAAAGTTCCAGACTCTGCGCATTGCAAGGGACTGCCACGAGTTCCTGAGTCTGTTCCCTTGCACTTCACGCGCACTGTGCTGGTGCTGATCCTCTTGGTGCAGAGACTCCAGGGCACGCCCCCTTCACCCAGTCTGCCCGTCTGTGCTGGGACCCCCGCCCCCCGGAGCCTGGAGTTCGGTGTGACCCACTTGTTTTTAATCTCTGTGTGATTGAACATCCTTAGAGGTAGGGAAGGGTCTGTAGCTCCCTCCACCTCCCTCCGGCCTCCCCATGGGTGATGGGAGGATGTGAGTTGGCCCCGGACTGTCAGAAGAGCTTGTCATCACCTCCCAGGGCTGGTACCCATAGCTCCAGCTGCCTGTTCAGGGGCTGCCTGGTCACTGCCTCCTCTGTGTCCTCCCAGTCCTTCTGTGTCCAACTCAGACAACTTTTTTGGCCCCTCCTTATCAATAGCCACGAGTCGTGGATGTGGCTGTGGCTTTGTGCTTGGAGGGTACCACGCTGAGAAAGGGACTTTCCGGAGGCCTCTCACTGCAGGTCCACATCCAGCCAGGGAGGGGCAAGGTTTCTGAGGCAGGCTCTCAGTGTCGGCCACGTTGGCTTCTTGGAGCAGTTTGAATGTTTCTCTCCAGGGCGGTGGGAGACAGTGTCTTCAGGCCCAGGTTTTGGCAAAACATGTGGCCTGGGGAGAAACTTGCCCTGGAGGTCAGAGCCTTTGAGGCAGACGGTGACGTCCCACAGCCCTCGAGGGGGGTCCGGCCAGCCCCCCTGACGCAAGCTGGCCTCCCTCTGGGCCACGAATGATGTCACTGTGACAATCCGGAGCTGGAGAGCTCGGGGTTTGCACTTGGGGGAAACAAAACCCAGGGCGGCGGACGCATCCAAAGTGAGGGTGGAGGAGAGGCACTAATGACAAGATGAGGGGAGGAACCGCCGCCTGGGAGGAACAGCACCAGTGCTCCTGATTTCAGAGCATCTTCTGCTTCCCATTCACTGTGTGGCCGTTTTTGGTCCCTGGGTTTCCTCCTTTGAAAATCGTGCCAACTGCCGGTGCAGTTTGCCTCTCCAGGGTCCGTGTGGTTTCTGGTTCTGTTTCGCAGTTGCTGGGAGATTTTATGACAATACATGTGTGTCACCGTTGAGGAGAAATGCCAGCTTATTTCAGTTTTAATATCATGTCGTTAAAGATTCTAAGGTGGGCCGGGCTCAGTGGCTCAGCCTGTCATCCCAGCACTTTGGGAGGCCGAGGCGAATGGATTGTTCAAGACCCGCCCAGGCAACTTGACGAGACCTCGTTTCTATAATAAATAAAAAATTAGCCGGGCATGGTAGTGCGCACCTGTAGTTCCAGCTTCTTGGAAGGCTGAGGCGGAAGGATCACTGGAGCCTAGCAGGTCGACACTGAGGTGGCCATGAGTGTGCCACTGCACTCTTGCCTGGACAGCAGAGTGAAACTCCAACTAAAAAAGAAGAAAAAAGATGCGAAGGTGAACAGGATGGCTTTCTGCAGGGCTGGTGTTCAAATGGATGTCCAAAGCACCCCATCAGAGTAGGTTCCCCTTGACAGAATTCCCAGGAATTCTAGGTGATAAGTCAGCATAAAGAATACAACCAAATAACAGCTGTCTTTTCAGTCTGTCAATTCTGGACATACAATTTGATTAAGTATCAAAATCTACTTAGCATGGATATGTAGATGAGATTGAATGATGGTCCATGATGAATGACTGTATTTACCAGTAGATGACCAGGAAAGCTTATTGGCCGGGTATTTGAAGCGAAAACACTGGGGGTTGTGGTTTGTCCTGGGTTTGGCACACAGGTTTTGTGATACACAGGTCAATGCTGCCAAAATACCCCAAGAGGACGTGGCCCGACGTGACGGTTGCACTGTCTTCTCCTGTAGCCTCTTGAACGTGTTCTACTCAGGTTTTGCCCCACCCCTTCCCTGGAGTCCCTCGGGTCCAGGTGAGCAGTGACCTCCAAGCCCCTTTATCCGGGGGTCTCTTCTCCATTCTCATCTGACCTGACTCCCAGCAGCATTGGACACAGCCTGTCATTTTCTTCTCTTTGAAGCCCTTTCTTCCCTTGGCTTCTGGGACACCCCACGCTCTGGTTTTCCTCCCCACCACCGGCCGCTCCTTCTGTCTCCTCTGCTGGTTCTGTTACCTTTGAACAGCAGAGCACCTGGGGCCCAGACCTCTCCTCCACCTGCTCTCTTTTCCATGTCAGTTGCATGCATATATTTTTTTAAAGATAGGATCTCACTCTGTTGCCTAGGCCAGAGTGCAGTAGTGGGATCCCGGCTCACCATAGCCTCAAACTCCTGGGCTCAGGTGATCCTTCTGTCTCAGCCTCCTGGGTGTCACCACACCAGCTAATTTTTTTTTTTAAGTTTCCTGTATGGACGAGGTCTCGCTATGTTGCCCAAGCTGGTCTTGAACTCCTGAGCTCAAGTCAAATAATCCTCTCACCTCAGCCTCCCAAAGTGCTGGGATTACAGGTGTGAGAGACCTTGCTCGGCCTCAGGCATCATGTAATGACTTCACACATCGTCTCTTCTCCAGTCAAGCTTGCGTCGTCTGAACTCTCCTCTACACTCCAGGTTTTTGCGTCCAACTTCTTACGTAAGATGCCCCATGGAAACCTAAGGCGCATCTCCAGTTAATCCGCTCCAAAGCGAGCTCTGGTTCAGCCTCTAACCAGGCCTTCCCCCAGGCTCTCCCGTGTCAGTGAAGTGTATCACCATGACTCAGGGGCGCAGGCCAAGCTCCCACTTTGCCTGTCCCCCATCCAATCCAACAGCAGGTCTTACGCCTCTGCCTTTCCAGTTCAGGCAGAACCAAGCGCCTCTCCCGCCACCTCCCTGCCCCTCGGTTCCAACCTCCATCCGGCTCGCCTGTCTGTTGCAGCCTCTCCACACCTCGGCTCACTCTCAGCCCGTGCTGCACCCACACAGCAGCCACAGTGGGCCTTCTGCGGGCCCGGTCTACTGTTTCTCCCGCCTGCTACAGATATCCCGTTGGCTTCCTTCAAAGTCCAAGGATTTTAGCACAGCCTGCAAACCCCAGATGATCAGCCTTTCCTTCCTTCTTTCCCTCCCTCCCTCCCTTCCTTTCTTTCTTTTTTTTTTGAGTCGGAGTCTCACTCGGTCGCCCAGACTGGAGTGCAGGGGCCGCTCCCGGCCACCGCAGCCTCGACCTGCTGGGCTCCGGCGATCCTTCTGCCTCAGCCTTCCAAGTAGCTGGAACTACAGGCGCGCGCTACCACGCCCGGCTGATTTTTTGATTTATTGTAGAGATGAGGTCTCGCTGCCCAGGCGGGTCTCGAACCCGCGGGCTCAGGCAATCCACTCACCTCAGCCTCCCAAAGGCGCGGGATGACAGGCTGAGCCACCGAGCCCGGCTCCTCCCTTCCTTTCTTTTCTTTTTTTCTGCTGGAGTCTCACTCAGTTGCCCAGGTTGGAGGACAGTGGCACGATGACGGCTCATTGCGGTCTTGACTGTCTGGACTCAGGCTGTCCTTCTGCCTCAGCTTCCATAGTAGCTGGTTCTACAGGCACAAGTCACCACACTTGGCTGTTTTTTTCGTAGAGATAAGTTTTTGTTATGTTGCCCAGGCTGGTTTCAAACTCACCTGGGCTCAAGAAATCGTCCTATCTCGGCCTCTTGAAGTGCTGGGATTACAGGTGTGAGCCACCACACCTGGCCTGTCCTGGTACTTTCTGACGTCACCTCCCGTTGTTTTTCTTATGCACACGACACCCCCCGGCCACACTGCTTCCCTGTTCTTCCTAGGACGTGTCACCTGCACTTGCCCCAGGGCCTTTGTACAGGACGAGTATTCTTCAGCCTGGGATCCTCCCCCGTTTCCCTTAGGTCTCAGCTCAATGCCACCTCCTCAAAGAGGACTTTCCTGGTCTAAAATTACACTCTACTCCGCCTCCCGCCTTTCATTCTGTCTCCTCACCTTGATGTGGTTTTCTTCATGACATTTATAAACCTTTTGTGTTTGTGGATTTATGTCTGTCTCCCCACAGCAGGGTGTAAGCAGTGACTTTGGTTTTGCTGCTGCATCCAGTGTGGGGCCAGTGCCTGGCCCGTGGGAGATGGCCACACATGCTTGTTAAATGAGTGATGAATACGTGCCAGGGCTCGTCTTGCTGCAGTAGGCAAGACAAGGGAGTCGAGAAGGAGGGCTTCTGCTAACGAGGTGCAGGGCTGCCTCAGAGGGCGATAAAGGCCACCTCTTTTTTGTTTGTGTGTGTGCTTTCTTATTTTTTATTTTTGGTGAGCGTTCCCCAGGCTGGAGTGCAGTGGCAGCCTCATGGCTCACCACAGCCTCGACCTCCTGAGCTCACGTGATCCTTCCGCTTCAGCCTCCCGAGTAGCTGAGACTACAGGCTCATGCCACCACGCTTGGCTAATTTTTTTCAAGATGAGGTTTCTCTATGCGGCCCAGGCTGGTCTCAAACTCCTGGGCTCAAGCAATCCTCTCGCCTCAGCCTCCCAAAGTGCTGGGATTACCGGTGTGAGCCTCTGCGCCCAGCCATCTCTATTGTTTGACGGAAGGAGAAGCCAGTTTCTTGAGCCTCTTGCCTTTGGATGTTTCCCTTGTGGACGTCTCATGAGACTTTCTTAGAAGCTGGGCGTTGGGGATAAAATGCTGACTTGTTAGGGATAAAACACTGACTTGTTAGGATGGACAGTGAGGTGAACCACCTCCACCCCTAACGTGTTTCCTTATTTTTCTTGTTTAGTTGCTGTATCAAGAATGGGCACGCTATGGAGCGTTTTATAAGTTTCAACCCATTGACCTCATCAGGTAAGATGTGGGAAGGGCCTTTCGGAAGGCTCCTGGAATGACAAATTCTGAAAGATCTATTATCAGCCCTTTTGGCCCTGGCTGTCTGGTGTTCGAGTAGAGGAATCTTCTTCTCTAGGTCGTATGATCCCCGGGTCCATGTCTTATGGTGGGGAAGCAGCTGGGGATGGGGAAGAAAATTGGTACGGAAGAGAATGTTTGAGGGGGGACCCCCCCATTGGGTGAGTGTTCTAGGAACCCGTCGGCATCTGTGTACCAGCTAGTATTGTTGTGAGAGGCTGCATTTGACTTCAGTGATTTTTAAATTTTTTTTTGGAGATTCTTTCAGGGTGCTTGCCTATTTCCTGATGGGTAATTTACGAGCACACCTGCCCACACTGCACTGATGTTTAGCTGTTTTCGGCCAAAAATGGCTTGAACCCCGTGCCCCCCCCTCCCTCTTCACCCCATCTCACCCCAAGAGACCTTCTTTTTGTCCCGGGATGAAAAAAGTCCTCAAAGGGAAGCATTCTTGCCAATGTGGAAGTGGCAAGGCAAAAACGGCAGAAGTACTAAAATGCGTCCAAATTGATGAGTTCGAAAACTGCTTTGAAGCCGGGCTCGGTGGCTCCGCCTGTCATCCCGCGCCTTGGGAGGCTGAGGTGAGTGGATGGCCTGAGCCCGCGGGTTCGAGACCCGCCTGGGCAGTGAGACCTCATCTCTACAATAAATCAAAAAATCAGCCGGGCGTGGTAGCTCGCGCCTGTAGTTCCAGCTACTCGGAAGGCTGAGGCGGAAGGATCGCCGGAGCCCAGCAGGTCGAGGCTGCGGTGGCCGGGAGCGGCCGCTGCACTCCAGTCTGGGCGACAGAGTGAGACTCCGACTAAAAAAAAAAAAAAAAAGAAAACTTCTTTGAGCAGCGGAAAAAGCATCTCAAATGAAGGGCACTTTGAAGGCAACTGAAGTCTATACATGTAAGAATAAATATACTATTTTTTAATAAATAAGTTCTGGGTTTTTTTGGTTCCCCCTTGTAGACCGATAGACCACGACTTCCATCTTGAGGTCTTCAACATGGTGGCCTCTTCCCCTGCCTGCTCTTTGGGAGAGGAACATGGTGCTGTCTCTCTTATTCTTTTCCTTAATCTTGACTTGGAGGAGGATTCTTGGGTTGGCCAAGTGACCACAGTGTTGTCCAAGGAGAGGGAAGATCTGTCAAATCACGGGGGGAGTACCCTGGCCTGACAGAGACGGTGGGCTTCTTACGGCTTTTCGCAATGAATCCCCTAGAACGCTGTCCTCTTGCAGGGCACCTTGGAAGTCTCCCCAGCTTCTGTCGACCGTTAGTGAACAGTCCTTTGAAGGACTTTGCAAGAATGCAGTAGGTCTGGCCGGTCTTGACGGGCGATGGGCTCTGGAAACTCAGTAGACACTCAGAGCCCAGGCCCTTTGTGGTTGAAATGTTGGACGACCACTCTGTGAGACGGAAAGGCAGTGGGCTGTGGGTCTAGCAGTGCGGGTTCTGGTCCGGGTTTGGCCACTGAATGTTCCCGGGTCTTTGGGCAAGTCCCATTCACCGTTTGATCTCAGGTCCTGGTTGTCCTAAACTTGGGGTTTGAACTGCGAAAGGGATGAGGTCCTTGGGTGGACCATGCTCCTTCGGAAAAGGCGAGAGCCTGCAGGAGGCCCAGGGACAGACACGCCGGACTCATCACGCTCTGTCACGGGAACTCTCCTGATGAGCTAATTAGTCAGCCCAAGCGTGGAGAGCGTTCCTGGCTGGCCGCCCTGGGCCGGGGCTGTGAGAGGGGCAGAAGCCAGGACGGAGTCTAGAGGGAGGAATTCCAGCTTCTTCTTGGAGAGAGAGCGCGGCGGGGAGGCCGGCGTGCGGGCAGGCGCACCTCCTACGCAGCTATGTGGCGGCCCTCCCCGCGAACTGGAGCTGGGCTGGCCTGGCCTGGCCTGGCCGTTGCTGGAAAGCAGGTGTTTGTTCCAGCTGAAGGCCGTTAACCAAGGCGCTTGGGCCGGGGAGCAGGGGCATGCCGTGGCTGGGACCAAGGCGCCCTCGCCCAGCACCTCTGTCCCCTGGCTGCCTCTCCCATGGCGTGGGCCACCTAGACTGTGCTCTGGGCCACGCCAAGGCGGCTCGCTCCATTCCTGGTGGGCTTTGATCTTTCTCTCTGCATCTCCGGTGGCCACCCACTCTGTCGCCTGTTTTCTCCAACTGCCCTTTTTTTTCCTCCCCAGTATGATTAAAAAATAAAAATTTTCCACACCAGAGAGCCCTCTCTCTTCCCCAGAGACTTCAGGTGACTTGCCGCCAGCTAAGAGGGAAATGGCTTCAAGATGCACTGGGTCTTGGCCACCTGCAGGGGAAGAATGGACTCGGACCCCTGCTCTGGGGCCTGGCGGTGCCTGAGGATGGAGCTTGGAGCAGACAAATGGCTTGTGGTGTCCCCCCACCA